GAAATAATATGTTGTTTTAAATGTTTTAAAATTATAAAGAAAATTTTTATTGCAGCATGCGTCGAGGTCCTGTCGATAAGATAAACTCTGTACCATCTAATACACAATTCAAGAAATCAGCAAGTATGGAGACACGAACCAACCAAGATTCTACAAAAGATTCAATCAAATTTATCCCTCCTAAACAAATTTTAGGAAGCAATGCATTGAGAATTCCAAGAATTCCCAAATCACGTACATCTTTAAAAGATCAATTATTACATGTGGAAATTTCTAAGCAAAATGTTTTATTGAATCAGGACAAATATTCCAAGCTTACCAGAGCCGGGAATTTACCATCCAGACCGGGAAATGATGCGAAGACAAATTCAATTGTGAAAGCTTTCAAAGTACATTTGGAACCGAGAGCTATACAAACTGTCTCACCACCTGATAGGACTCGTCAACTCAATTCACCAATGGTAGCATTTGCGATGACAGGTGAAACGCACACTTCCAAGAAAGAAAATACCAAAGAAGCAGAAATTAAACCTACAACTAATATTTTTATAAAAAATAGTACAAGTAATTCAGAAGTTTAATTTACAATGAGTTGCAACTTCCATTTAAGTTCTATTGTAATTGATGCAAATTTCTGCACTGTCCTCCTATTTATCGCTCGTTTCTCATTTCTTATTCATGTTTTTGTTTAGAGTATACCTGCAAGAAGTAAAGCTTGTTTTTCTCCATACAAACTCTATCCTGCACTTCTTAGATCAAAGGAATCTAGTTTAAATTTTTTTTGCTTATTAAAAAAAATATTTTAAATAGATACCATACTTGTGGTAGTCGTTAGATTTTTTTCTTCTTTTAGAGCAAGATGCTCACCGAATATCCGGTGTGAAATTTCAACACAACAGAAACGATCATGAGCAGATGAAAGCAAGAAGCACTAGTCGACAAAGATCTTTTATACCGCTCTATACAACACCATCTCGAAGATTGCCTGCAAGAAAATCAGGTACCGAGACGGGCCAGGTACTTTCTATTTCAAAATTTTTTTTTCAATTCGTATCGAAATCGAATAAAATGAATTATCTGATCTCCATGAGCTTGATATAAATTTCACGTGATTCTACATGGAAATACATTTACCGTATATATTATCTTACGTCATAATTTTTTCCTATAGGCACCTTTAGCGGAGTGTGAATCATCTTGTATTGAAAATTCGCCAGCTGTTGAAGTGCCTCCCATAAAATTTATCACAAATAAAATTCATCATATGTGCATAGAAGAAAGTTCGGAAGACGGAGCTACAGAATCACAGTCATTGAATCCGAGCTCGTCAACAAACTCAGTGAGAGGTTCCTTTCAGCAAAACAAATATTTTGAGGCTTTAATGCCGAAAAATGTTCCAAAAATAATATTTTAAGGCAGAAATTAGATTATTGTAATAACGTGCAAAAAATTCGACATTGCTCCGCATTATCGCTTATTGTACTCAATAAATTTCAAACAAAAATTGAATTATTTTTATTAAATTCAATTTCGTATCACTTGAAAAGATGATTTGTCAGAAATTTCTCGCAATTGTTTTATAATCTATTTAGCATTTTTCAGAAGCTTGCAGTAACCAATTTTTGAACAGTAAGTCGACTTACAACTGTGACAAGGCAACAAGGGAAGGATCATTAGATGATAGAAGAAAGTATGTAGTCGAGAAATCAAAAGTTATTCTTGAATTTCTCTTGCTCAGATCAGCAAACAAATTTCGAAATAATTCACGAGTTTTTTTTTAAGGAATGACTGTACAACGACCAATGTTGCACTATCAAACATTATGATAAATAATGATTTACCAAATAATCTTTCCAATGATTGCTCCTGTGACAATGATGTCAAATCAGGGAGTAGTCCCAATGACTTCGTTTCACCAACTCCTATGACATCTTCTGGATTTACAACATCTTCTGGTTTTCAAGATTCTCCTGATAAATCTCCAGATAAGGATGCCGAATTGAATGAGCAATTTGCCGATATGACTATCATCCAAAAGTTTGTCTTTACCGATTACTTATTTCAATATGTACTCGCTCGTAAATTCAGTAAAAACAAATTATTATGTTTTTCGAGAAATGCTTAAATAGTATTCAAGTAATGTTAGTAATTTCAAGTATTGCTGGTAAAAATCCAAGTTAAAAAATGATTTTTAATCAATGTCATTTTCTTCGCTCCATGCAACGTAGTAAATATAGCATTTAAATTCATGGAAAAGATTCTGTAATATTGGATGTTTTCCAGTATTACAGAACCTTTTCCATGAATTTATACAAATTATCAAGTTTATTACAGTATCCTGCAAAACTATTCTGATATAGCAGTTTTGAAATATCAAAAATATAAAAATTTATTATAGCAATTATAGCGACTGATTTTCAAAATTCATTTAGTGTAATTTGATTGTTCTGACCGAGTTCAGACCTTCTAGTAGCTGTTCGTCTATTCGATAACATATATGTTATTGTTTGATTAAAAAATTTTTTACACTATCTTAAAATATAAAATGTGTTAAATGAAATTTGAAACCTTAAACTGTGTTATCCGAATGGATATTATCGATTATTCTAATGTCTAAAGAATTTCGTCCTCCATTTATTCTTCCTCCTTTGTCACTTCATTCAATTTATTCGCAAATAGTCGAACTTACAAAATTGTAATTCCAATTTATAATTTGTATTGTAAAAAGATAGTTTTTCTAAAGATTAATTCATATTAATGATTAATGCAGTGAAATTTCTCGTCTTTCATTCTCTCTTTTTTCAAAATATAATGTGAAAGCCTTTCTTGCACATGAAATCAATACAAAATATTTGGTAAAGAAAAGAAATATATTTGCGCATTAGGGAACATTAAAATTTCGTTTGATGAATTGCATGAATTGGAATAATATTTTCCAACAATTTTTAATACAAAATTTTTGAAAACAGTTTTGGAATTTTTTCGTTTACTTTTGTGAGTTAAAATAATCTCTAAAAATGAGGTAAATCCGTAAGTGCTAATTTTTCAAGTAAAATAAATAATCTATCGCATCTCAAAACTTCTCGGAACTTTTAAGGTTGATGTGAAGTGGAACTGGTTAGAGTGTTGAAAAATTTAAAGTATTGCGTGCGAATAGGCAGTGAGGAAGGAGGAAGACGGGCAGAGGAGGCGATGGATGATGACGCTGCAGGCGACGATGATGACGTTGACGTGGATGACAACGGCTTTCCTCCCTTTCTCTCTCTCTCTCTCTCTCTCTCTCTCTCCTTCTCCATTTCGATATTTGTGGTGGAGCGGTTTGTGTGAATGGTGCTGGTGGGGCTGTGCTGTGATGGCCGACTGCCTGCTTCTAAATACGCTGATCAAGTCGGTAAGGTGAGCCTCTGCTTTCCTGACCATTAAACTAAGTTAAGCTGTAGAAGCCATCCTGTGTCCATCGATTACTCGCATCCATCCTATTTCAAAATTAGTTAAATAATATACATTATTATTGCTGATTATTCATTCGTCTTCAAGCCACAAAAAGTGATGTTGAAAATTTTTCATCTTTCATTTACGTCAAATTCATTATTTTGCTTAATTTTTCTCTTGACGAGAACAAAAATTTTTTTTTTGATTTCTACTGCTTTTTCTGCCTGTGATAGTTTTAAAAATCACTTAAAATGGTAAGTGAGGCGATATGTTATCTGTACGGGGCTTTCGGTTAATATGAATTCCGCAATATCTCATCTTCATCTCTCATTTCTTAATGCCTGAGTGATCGGGATATATATTAGGTAGATAAGTTTTCTTCAAAATATGAATTTATTATTGCTGTTATGCAATAAATGAATAATCCTTCATCCGTGCTAATAACCTTAAAGATTTTTTCTGCCTTAATAAATCCCCTTTTGGCTTATTTATTTCAGATCGTACATCTAAGCATAATAAAGCGTTGATTTCCGCTCGAAGAAATGGAATTAGTTTTGATAAGTGAGAGACTGAAAGTGTGCGAACTATTTTCAGCTGATTAATGATTTAAGAGTATTTGTTTTAAGTTTTGTTTGAAATCATGGTGTGAAAGATTTTAGACTTATATTGAATTTAATTTAAGTCTTTTGAGAAATTTGATTCCATCGAACAACATTCTTAGGTATTACTTTTATTCAAATAAAAGTCTTATTTAGTCTCTTTACCATTCATACACCTCTGTCCAGAGAATGCAACGTCCTTTTTTTTTACTATAATTAAACTTTTTTGTTCATAGGACTTAAAATTAAAAACCACTGTATCTTTTATTATTGTAAATTGCTATGAATACGTTTTAGCTACGAGACATTCTTGTTGTATCTCTAAAATCACATGCATTTTATTTGTCGGAAATGCAAACATACGAAAATGAGAGCTTCACAAAAATAGTTTCACACTTCTTGCTACTCCTGTCCGCCCGTCTGTGTTTCATTTATAGTGAATGTCAGGTGACATTATACGAGAACTGTGTCTATCTTTTATTCCTTCTACTTCTTGAAATATATGAGCCAGAGGATAGTTTGTATTTGAATAATAAGAGAAACTATAGGTCATAATTTCGTGAAAACTATCCCATCAAGTCTTACTTTATTATATTTATATTCAAGAATACCTAGAATGAGATCTGCCAAATCTGCGTGTTGTCGTCATAATATTTATACTTCTGATTTGGTTCCATCTGATGGAGTATTAGAATAAGATTCCTTTCTAGCGATAAATGATTTTTCTATGAATTTGTAATGCATTGTTCAGGAATTTCAGAGCAGGTCGATCTCGTTCACGACGGCCACCATCACACGATCATGATCAAGGACCGGTTACTTCACCAAATTCTGCGTCAGCTCACTATAAGTAAGC